CATCCTAGGTCACGCAGGGAGGAGAGGACCAGGGAAAAGCGAGGTCTACTCAGGAGGAGATTACCACGATCCTCCTCGTGGCTTGCAGGTGGGAGCTATGTATATAAGTTTGCAACTGCACAGTTAGAATTGCTGAGGTCAATTAGTGTTTACCTTGAAAGAGCTGGCATTCTTCCCATGGACTTTTCTTGGTTATTTTCCTGGAGTTTATAATTAGTTATCTTGGCTTGCTTCGGAACTGTCATCAATGCAGTTTATTTTGGTTTTATGTTTGCCTCATTATTTACTTTTGTGACTTTAAACTGTGCCTAATAAAACAGTGAAGTTAAGTTGAAGGCTTTACTGGACTTTAATATATGTTTTGGGTTTGGGGTTATTTTGAGAGACTTCGGGTCATCACAGATATAGTTTACTGAAGGTCAAGTGAAATACATTAAAGCAAAGCCAGAACAGAGGTTTGTGCTCCAAAGGTATAGTTTAACAGTGAAACAAAGTCAGAACTGAGGTTCGTGCGCCAAAGGTATACTTTACTGAAGATCAAGTGAAATACAGAAAAGCAAAGCCAGAACTAAGGTTTGTGCTCCAAAGGTATAGTTTACTGAAGGTCAAGTGGAATACAGTAAAGCAAAACCAGAACTGAGGTTCGCTCACCAAAGGTATAGTTTAAGAGTAAAGCAAAGCCACAACAGACGTTTGGGCGGCAAAGGTGTTGTTTACTGAAGGTCAAGTGAAATACAGTAAAGGAAAGCCAGAACTGTGGTTAGCACGCCAAAGGTATAATTTAACAGTAAAGCAAAGCCAGAACTGACATTCGTGCGCCAAAGGTATAATTTACTGAAGGTCAAGTTAAATACCATAAAGCAAACCAGAACTGAGGTTCACATGCCAAAGATATACTTTACTGAACGTCAAGTGAACTGCAATAAAGCAAAGTCAGAACTGAGGATCGCACGCCAAACATATAGTTTACTGAAGGTCAAGTGAAATACAATAAAGAAAACCAGAACTGAGTTTCACGGGCCAAAGGTATAGTTTACTGAAGGTCAAGAGAAATACAGTAAAACAAAGCCAGAACTGAGATTTGCACACCAAAGGTATAGTCTAAACGTAAAGAAAAGCCAGTACTGACGTTAACGTGCCAAAGGTGTAGTTTAACAGTAAAGCAAAGCCAGAACAGAGGTTGGCGCGGCAAAGGTATAGCTTACTGAACGTCAAGTGAAATACAGTAAAGCAAAGTCAGAAATGAGGTTGGCACGCCAAAGGTGTAGTTTACTGAACGTCAAGTGAAATACAATAAAGCAAAACCAGAAATGAGTTAAGTTTCCAAAAGGTATTGTTTGACAATAAAGCAAAGCCAGAACTGAGATTTGTATGTCAATGGTATAATTTACTGAAGGTCAATTCAAATACAGTAAAGCAAACCAGAACTGAGGTTCGCACGCCAAAGGTGTAGTTTACTGAAGGTCAAGTGAAATACAGTAAAACAAAGCTAGAACTGAGATTTGCTCACCAAAGGTATAATCTAACCATAAAGAAAAGGCAGAACTGAGGTTAGCGTGCCAAAGGTATAGTTTAACAGTAAAGCAAAGTCAGAACAGAGGTTGGCGTGGCAAAGGTATAGCTTAATGAATGTCAAGTGAAATACAGTAAAGCAAAACCAGAAATGAGGTTCGCATGCCAAAGATATAGTTTACTGAAGGACAAGTGAACTGCAATAAAGCAAAGTCAGAACTGAGGATCGCATGCCAAAAATATAGTTTACTGAAGGTCAAGTGAAATACAATAAAGAAAACCAGAACTGAGTTTCATGGGCCAAAGGTATAGTTTACTGAAGGTCAAGTGAAATACAGTAAAGCAAAGCCAGAACTGATGTTCACGGCCCAAAGGTATAGTTTACTGAAGGTCAAGAGAAATACAGTAAAGCAAAGCCAGAACTGAGATTTGCTCACCAAAGGTATAGGCTAACCGTAAAGAAAAGCCAGAACTGAGTTTAGCGTGCCAAAGGTATACTTTAACAGTAAAGCAAAGTCAGAACTAAGGTTCGTGTGTCAAAGTTACAGTTTAACAGTAAAGCAAAGTCAAAACTGAGGTTTGTGCGCCAAAGGTATAGTTTACTGAAGGTCAAGTGAAATACAATAAAGCAGAACCAGAAATGAGTTATGTACAGTTGTAATTGCAGGAATGTTCCAATCTCGGATGGCAAACCTCAGATAAAGAATGTTTCCAAGCAAATACAACTCAGGTAAACAAAGTCACTAATCTAAAGGAGGATTAGAGAGAGGAAGTAAACATATGTTAGACTTTAACTAGAGATAATTAATTGTATTAATTACTGTGCTAAACAGTAACCAAAGTTAAGCAATAACCAAAGTTAACCAATGATGGAGGATAACTAAAAATGTGTATAAATGCAAGACTAGACTCCAATAAAGTTCATCATGATTCAGTTGTTCATGATAAAACTACTCGACTGCCTTGTCATTACAACAAGTGGTGCCCTTACTTCGTCTGGCAAGGATTTGGTGCACCTTCAACCCTTTGTGGTTTCTTCAACCTTTTGGTTTCTGTAAGTATGGGGTCTTCACTTTCTGAGGAACAAAGGAAGCATGTAGACGAATTAGGCTATTTGTTGAAGAAAAATAATACTGAGGTACCACAGAAAAATCTCTTAAGGCTGGTCCAGGAGATTGCAGCTCAGTGCCTATGGTACCCAGAAAAGGGGTCTTTAAAATTAACTGATTGGGAACATATAGGGAAAACATTGCATACTGAACCTCGAGCAAAGATAGAAGTTTTGCAGGTGTGGCATTTATGTAGGCATGCAATTGAAAAATTTGGTCACAATGAACTTTCTCTTTTAACACCTCCACCTTCACGTTATACTAATGCTGTCATTTGTCCCCCTTCTTCACCTGAATGAAGAATGAATGAAGTCTTCAATTCCCTCAGCTCCTGCAGATACAGGGCAAAAGCCTCCTGACTCTATTGTTCAGTTTTCTTTTCAGAAAATGGTAGAGACTTGTAAAAAGGATGCCTCTGTCTCAGGAACAGAACTTGCAGAATTACTGTCTGTTTGTCCAGTACAATATCATCCTGGTCAGGGGCCACAGCTTGGACTGCAAGTAGCAGAATGGGAGGGTCTGCCTTATCAGATCTTAAGAGAGTTAAAAAAAGGCAGTTACAGACTATGGGATTAGTGGTAATTTTACAAAAGGACTTGTAGAAGGAATAAAAAATGGTTATACAATGATCCCTGAAGATTGGAAGCAAATATTACTTGACTCCTCCAGCAGTCTCTCTCACTCCTCCCCAGCCACAGCCGGTAGCGCTGGGATCGATTTAATCACTCAAGAGGAAATTGAGTTTAAATTTCCCATGGGAGTTAAAATAGTTCCATCTCAATTTAAAGGTCCTCTTCCTTCGGGATTAGTTGGCTTAATTTTGCCTCGTTCTTCTGCACACAAAAAGGGCTGTTTTGTTGTGCCTGAGGTAATAGATTCAGATTACACTGGTATCCTCATGATTCAGATTTGGGTGAATCTTCCTCAAGTTCTTCCTTGTAATTCTTCTGTTGCTCAATTGCTTCTTCTTCCATATGAAAATCCATCTCCTGGTATAGGTAATCGTGTGGATGCAGGATTTGGATCAACTTCTTTATCTGTAGGCTTACTTCATCAGCTGAACTTCTCTCTCTTCCTTAATAAACAACCATTTCAAGGGTTATTGGATACTGGAGCCGATGTTACTGTCATCTCCTCTTTACAATGGCCAGTACAGTGGCCAAAAACGACAGTTTCTTCATTGTGGGGAATAGGAGGTTCTACAGCTGCTTGGCAGAGTGTTCAAGAAATTAATGTTACAACATCTGCTGGTAAGTCCTTTTTCCTACAACCATACATTCTAGATATTCATGCTAATATTTGGGGCCGTGATATCCTTTCTCTTCTTAATGCCCATTTGATTCTTGATGATGGCTCTTCCTTTTAAATGGCTCTGTTCTACGCCGGTTTGGGTAGAACAATGGCCATTATCAAGGGAAAAACTCGCTGCTTTACAACTATTGGTTCAAGAACAATTGGCTGCTGGTCATATAGAACCTTCTACTAGTCTTTGGAATACTCCTGTTTTTGTTATATGATTTCAGAATCATATCAGATAGCCTTTTCTCAATATGTGGGAAACTTGTTGTATTCTTTACCCAAGGATCCTAGAATAGTGGTTACTACTACTTTAAATCCGGCCTTTTCTTCCATTTTTGTGTGAAATCCTATTTCTAAAGTTCTTACAGTCTTTACTGATGGATCACCTACAAGGGGTGTGGTCGTCTGGCTGATTCAACAACAATGGTATTCTAAATTTACTGCCACGCAGACTTCAGCTCAACGTGCTGAGCTGGCTGCTGTGATTTTGGCTTTATGATTGTTCAATGACCAACCTATTAACTTGATCGTTGATACTCAATATGTGTATTTAGCTATGCAATCTTCCCTTTTCTTATTGTGCTCTCTCTTTGGATAAGAATTTGTTATCCTTGTTTTTATCTTTAAAGAATAGTTTGGAAACTCACTTGTATTCTTTGTATGTAGAACACATTCGAAGTCATACTCCCTTTACTGAAGGAAATCGGAAGGCAGATGAATCCTTAAAGGATGTTGCATCTTTGTTTGTTGATCCTGTTGCCAGTCATTCTTATTTTCATTAAAATGCCAAATCGCTTGCAAAGCAATTTAAAATTTCATTATCTCAAGCCCGGGATATTGTCTGTGCTTGTCCAGCTTGTCAGCAACTGGCAGTTCCCTTTCCAGTGGGTGTCAACCCACGAGGAACCCAAGCTAATCAAATTTGGCAAATGGATGTAACTCAATTTTCAACCTTTAAGCCATACTGTTATCTTCATATGTCTCATTCACATTTCCTTTGGGTTACTGCTTCAAAACATGAACGTACTTCAGATGTTATTTCTCATTGCCTATCCTCTTTTGCTATAATGGGTCGGCCTTCTCAGTTTAAAACTGACAATGGCCCCGCTTATATTAGTAAGGAATTTCAAACCTTTTGTCAGAAATGGAATATTACTTTAGTGCACGGAATTCCTTACAACTCTCAGGGTCAAGCTATAGTTGACCGAACTCATCGTACTTTTAAGGCATTGCTTCAGAAACAATTACAAACTGAGTCTGGCCCTTACCATCTGAGAAAGATTCAAAATCTCATTGTTGTAGCATTATATACTTGGAATTATTTAACCTTTTTAGATTCTCTTGCAGACTCACCTGTTAATTTGCATTTTCGAACTACTGAATCTTTAGCAAGGCCTTTGGTAAAGTATCGCCAAGCTCCAGATCCAACCTGGAAAGGCCCTACACCGCTGATCACCTGGGGTCGCGGTTACACTGCCATGGAAGATCCTTCTACTTGACAAGCAGTGTGGGTTCCAGCGTGCTGTGTTCGTCCGTATCATGGCATGGCATCAGGTCCTTCACAACCCGATTCCAGATTTCAATCTTCATCTGAACACGGAAGTCCGTCTTCCAAGGTCAAAGCGCCCGCAACCCATCACTTGGGGCCAGGTTAAATCTACTACATATCAAGCTCAACAACAACTGCAACAGGCCTCATTACCTCAGACTCCTGAAAATCTTGTTGCTGCTGTTTTTGCTATTATTACTGCTAACTCTGTTACCATTTTACTTTGTATTTTCTTGTTTATGGTTAATGGTGTTTCTGCTAAAAATGACACTCCTGTGGTTAGTCTTAACCCTAATTTGTGGGTTCGTCATGCCCAATACATGTTTATGACCCATGGCACAAATATTACTTTATACTATGAGCCCCCAATGGCATTTAGTCAAATTTTTTACCCCTAACTTGATCATGTCTTCTACATTTATTGTCTCACAACTACAATCTATTTCACACTCCTGGCTATTTTCTAAACCCCCTATGCAATTGAATTCTGTCCGTTGGCGTTACTTGAAAGTTAGTCAATTTACAAGGGGTCTGTGTTTCTGTTGTCATGCTAAACACACTTGGCTTCATAATTGGTCTGATTATGATGCTGCTCAGCACATATTAAAAAAGCTAGGGAATTATAGTTATTGTTCTGACTACTATTGGTTGTCAGGTACCTTTAATTCTTCTTTGCATGGAATTAATATAGCTCCTGATATGTATCCTGACAATTTTCCTATTTTTAATGCCTCTAATCAATCTAATACAGGATCAATATGTGCTGGTTGGCAGCTTAAGGATCCTAATATGTGGTTCTTTTTTGATAAATTTGCCACTAATGTTCATCCTCAGAATTATCAATGTGCAACTATAGGTTATTTTACTCTACCTGTTCAAATAGGTACGCTCCCATCAACTTGACAGCGGCGTTCCTCTCTGGGGCCTACATGTAATGATGAAGTCATTATTGACACACAATTGTCTTCTGGTTCTACATTTGGCCGTGCATTGGCAGGGGCCGTTACAGGAATCCTTACTCTAGGCTCTTATCCTGGCATAATTGCTCAAGAAAACAGACAATCTATTCTTGGTCTCACCTGCAGACTTGAAAAATCCATCAATGCTACCGCTGCTATTATTCGTGATTTGCAGCATGAAATAGAAGACTTAAATCAAGATGTCTTACAGCAGCGTTTTGCCATAGACTATCTTTTAGCCCATCAGGGAGGGTTCTGTACGTTAGTTGGACACCGTGGATGTGCTGTACATTTTCATTCTTTGAATAAAACTATTGAGGATGAGCTTGCCAATTTACAATCATACATTCAAAATAATATCCATGCTCATTACTCACCTTTTGAGTGGCTAACCAATTGGCTCCCTGATTGGTCTTGGCTCAGACAGTTTTTCTTTTATATTATAATTATTATTATTGTACTAATTGCAACCTGTTGTTTTATTCAATGTATTCCAAATTTATTCGCATTGTTTCATCCTGCTTCCCCCTCTCTTAATCCTCTACAATTACGATACATTCATAAATCTTTGAATCCTCCATTTAAAATAAAAAACGAGGATATGTAGAGTTGTAATTGCAGGAATGTTCCAATCTCGGATGGCAAACCTCAGATAAAGAATGTTTCCAAGCAAATACAACTCAGGCAAACAAAGTCACTAATCTAAAGGAGGATTAGAGAGAGGAAGTAAGCATATGTTAGACTTTAACTAGAGATAATTAATTGTATTAATTACTGTGCTAAACAGTAACCAAAGTTAAGCAGTAACCAAAGTTAACCAATGATGGAGGATAACTAAAAATGTGTATAAATGCAAGACTAGACTCCAATAAAGTTCATCATGATTCAGTTGTTCATGATAAAACAACTCGACTGCCTTGTCATTACAACAGAGTTAAACTCACCAGAGGTATAGTTTAACAGTAAAGCAATGCCAGAACAGATGTGTGCGCCAAAGGTATTGTTTACTCAATGTCATGTGAAATATTATAAAGTAAAGCCAGAGCTGAGGTTCAAGCACCAAATGTATATTTTACTGAAAGTCAAGTGAAATACAGTAAAGCAAAGCCAGAACTGAGGTTTGCGCGCCACAGGTGTAGTGTAACAGTAAAGCAAAGCCAGAACAGATGTTTGCGCGGCAAAGGTATAGTTTAGTGAAGGTCAAGTGAAATACAGTAAAGCAAAGGCAGAACTGAGTTTCGCGTGCCAGAGGTATAGTTTAACAGTAAGGCAAAGCCAGAAATAAGGTTTGCGTGCCAAAGTTATAGTTTAAAAGTTAAACAAATCAGAACTAAGGTTCGCGTTCCAAAGTTATAGTTTAACAGTAAAGCAAAGTCAGACCTGAGGTTCGTGCACCAAAGTTATAGTTTACTGAAGGTCAAGTGAAATACAGTAAAACAAAGCCAGAACTGATGTTCACGCGCCAAAGTAATAGTTTATTGAAGGTTGTTGAGGTATTCCCCGTTAGGAGAATGAGTGCACTCAGGGAAATGTAGTGAGAGTTGTGTTGAATAACAAACGACCAGCACACAGATACACTGAATAGTAAAATGTAGGTTTTACTTCCAGTAAACGGGTAAACAAAGTCCAACAAACAGTCCAAATCATACACGGTTAAAGCAGTGTTCAAAACAATCAGTCCAGGGATAATCCACAAGCGAAGTTCAGTATCATAAACAAAGTTCAGTAAACGGAGTTTGTTAACAGTTGCAAGACTCACAGCAATCCAAGCAGAACGACGATCAGGCAAAAAGCAAAAAGGGAAATGCAAAAAGAAGCAAACCAGGTTTCTGGCTCCATCTTATGGCTGTTGGAGGAACCTCAGCCAATCACAATTACAGCATTTTCTTAAAGATACAACAGTATTAAATGACTATCCTGGTTTATATATTGCCAACCCAACTGTTAGGTGACTATCATTCCTAACATTCTCCCCTTTGGGTAGGACAATATATAAAACCTTACAGTTTAAGTCCATATTCCTCACAGCAAGCCTTATGTTTTACAGTGCCTTGGGCTTTCGTAAAATGTTCTGCAATGTTATTCTCTGACATGCAGTACTCCAGTGTAATCATTTTACTTTGAACACATTGTCTCACATTCAGATATCGTAGATCGGTGTGTTTTGATCTTGCCTTTATGGTGAGATTGGAAGCCAACTGAATTGCTGATTGGTTGTCTTCATACACAACAATAGGTTCCTTTACATAACTTCCCATGTCTATCATTAGTTGTTTATAACATACTAAGTCCGTACATAATAGAGACAAACATGAGAATTCAGCCCCTTTAATGGCTATTGATGGTTTAACTATCTCATCATTAGGGACTACTTGGCTGTCGGTAACAATATCATTGTTGGATTCCTGTTCTAGTTTATGCCACCCAACGTGCTCAAGAAATTTAGCACTAGCGCTACAGTAAATATTAGCTGTGCCTGGATCCCAAAATCTAAACAATCTATGGTTGGCCTCGTAACCTATGAAAAATAATTTCCTAGCTCTATGTTGCCCTTTCAGTCTTACTTGTGAGGGAATATGCACCCATGCTGGAGCTCCAAATGTGTGTAGATAGCTTAAATTTGGTTTTCTGCCATGCCAATGAGTGAATGGCAATTCACCAGTTGTTGTGTTCACCACATTGTTCACCACATGATTGCTACACATTATGGCCTCACCCCACAGTGTTTCAGGCAAATATGAATCGGATAACATAGTGCGAGCCATGGCTTGTAACATTTGCCCTCTTCATTCTATAAACAAGTTATGTTGTGGTCTGTAAGGTGCAGAACGCTTATGCTGGATACAAGCCAATTTTAACATCGTTTGGAATATCTTGTTAATAAACTCAGTCCCGTTACATGTAACTACAGTAATTACTTTATGTTTCATTTTTCTTTCTGCAAACCTTAGCCAATTAAAGAAATGTTGGAACGTTTCTGTTTTGTTTTTCATTAGATAACAGAAACCGTACCGTGAGTAATGGTCCATTACACTCAGAACATAGCAGGCACCTCCCAAACTGGGTTTCTTAGGACCAATTATGTCAGCAAACACAACCTCCAAAGGTTCTCTGGTCTTAAACCCATTCAGTCTGTTTGCTGGTGTAACCTTGCTTTTCTCCTCACTACAGGCATTACAGTTTAAGTACTTGCTACAAGGTTTTAATTTTACTCCCTCTGACAATTTAACAGTTTGTTTCAGCATTTTGAAATTAATGTGCCCTAGACGTCTCTGCAGTAAATTTATACATTCATCATGTGACTTAACATTGTTATAAACTGAGTTAGCCATCTGCAACTGGTCATCATGTATCACATATAAATCATTCTCTAAATTAGCAGTAACACTTTTACCCTCTTTCTCTATTATACAGTTATCTCCCCTAAAGGTTACTACATAACCAAGATCAACTAAAGCCCTTACTGATAATAAATTAAATTTCAGTTTAGGTACATATAACATAGTTAAATGTTCGTTTATACAAGAACAATATGCAGTACCTTCACCTGATGCTTTAATCTTCCATCCATTTGCCAATGATACATGTTGTTTACTCGTGGACATCTTCACAAACCTTTTTCTATCTTTAGTAATGCATTGCGATGCTCCACTATCAACAACCCATAAATCATGGTTTACAGTTGAATTGCTAGACATAGCTAAACTAACATTCTTCTTAGCCTTCTGGTGTTTACTAGCATTCTGTCATTTTCCCTTCTTACAGAATCTAGCTATATGTCCCCTAGCCCCACAAGAAAAACATTTCCTAACAGTATAGGCAGTTGAAGACAAATCCTCTTCTTGTGGTTGTTCCTTCCTCAGTTGGTCCCTATCCAGCCGTCTTCTTGCTTCTTCTAACAACCTTCCAGTTATGTCAGTCAATGTCAGTTTATCTCTGGGCAGGACTTCCAGTGAAGATACATAGTCATCATAACTTTCATCCAATGAGGAAAGAATGATGTAAACTTGATGCAGCTCTGAAAATATCAGTTCTTTTTCATGTAGCTCTTGAAAAGTTCTTTTCATGAAGTTTAAATGAGCCAACATATCTCCACTTTTCAGAAGACGTGCTCTAAACAGTTTACATGTAAGATTTATGTGTGCACCTACACTGTCACAAACATAAATCCTCTTCAAATTCTCCCAACACCTAGCAGCAGACTCTTCTCCATGAATATGGACTAGCTGCTGGTCACTCAGTGGTAGTCCAATTATACAAAGAGCTCGTTCATTGTTCTGTTTAAAGTCAGCAAGCTTCTTGGCATCATCCTCATTAGCTGGATCCCAAGCATTTACATCCGGTGGGTCTTGAACTACATTCCATAACCCTTCTCTACGCAGAAGTAGACTGCACTTCATAGACCAGGAAACATAGTTTGTTCCATCCAACCGGGTTATCAGTGATAGACTTGTTGAAGTGACTTGTGCCATCTTTACCAGGATAGTAACCCACAATTAAACAGTAAACAGCTGTCTGTATACAGCACTGTGTATTCACACTAACTCTCAGTTATCTGAGCCTGGTATGGCCTGGGCCCATAACCAGTGTTGAGGTAATTCCCCATTAGAAGAATGAGCACATACAGGGAGACGTATTTTGAGAGAAGTGTTTGAATAATACACACACAGTACACAGATACACTGTACAGTAAATGTAGGTTATTACTTCCAGAAAGTTTAAGCAAAGTCCAAACACAGTCCAAAGTCATTCACAAGTAAATCAGTCAGTTTTCAATCCAGGGATAATACAAATATCAAATTCCAGTGTCAAAAACAGTTCAGTATCAGACTTACATTAAATCCAGAAAATATCAGTCAATTAGGAAAAATGGAGGAACGGCAATACTTTTCAACAGAAGGAAACAGAGATACACTCATACTCTCTTCTGAGACTCAGACTCAGACAAACCAGGTTTCTGGCTCCATCTTATGGCCGTTTGAGAAACCACACCTAATTACAGTTTTGCATTTTCTTAAAGATACAGTTTTAAAATGTTTATCCTGGTTTATATATTTCTAACCCAAATAGCTGTTAAGTGACTCATATTCCTAACAGTCCCCATCTCCTTGTAATTGGTGAAAAGTCACCCGGCAGCCTTTCATGCCTAAGGAGGGACTGGAACTCCCCGTCTCCTGGTGATTGGCCCAAAGTCACCCGGCTGCCTTTCATGCCTGAGGCAGGATTAGAACTACCCGTCTCCTGGTGATTCAGTAAACTATAACTTTGCCGCGTAAACGTCTCTTCTGGCTTTGCTTTACTGTTCAACTATACCTTTGGCCCGCGAACCTCATTTCTGGTTTTGCTTTTTTGTATTTCACTTGACCTTCAGTAAAATATACCTTTGCCGCGTAAACGTCTGTTCTGGCTTTGCTTTACTGTTAAACTATACCTTTGGCGAGCGAACCTCAGTTGTGGCTTTGTTTTATTGTATTTCACTTGACCATCAGTAAACTATACCTTTGGTGCGCAAACCTCTGTTCTGGCTTTGCTTTAATGTATTTCACTTGACCTTCAGTAAATTATACCTTTGGCCCACGAACCTCATTTCTGGTTTTGCTTTATTGTATTTCTCTTGACCTTCAATAAACTATATCTTTGGCGTGCGAACCACAGTTCTGGCTTTGCTTTATTGCAGTTCACCTGACCTTCAGTAAACTATATCTTTGGCATGCAAACCTCAGTTCTGGTTTACTTTACTGTATTTGAATTGACCTTCGGTAAACTATACCATTGGCACACAAATCTCTGGCTTCGCTTTACTGTTAAACTATACCTTTGGGAAGCCTAACACATTTCTGGTTTTGCTTTATTTTATTTCTCTTGACGTTCAGTAAACTATACCTTTGGCACGCGAACCTCAGTTCTGACTTTGCTTTACTGTTAAACTATACCTTTGGCGAGCGAACC